TATATACATATATATATATATATACATATATATATACATATATATATATATATATATATATATATATATATACATATATATATATATATATATATATATATATATATATATATATATATATATATATTAACAGACAGATTCTTTTCACAGCATGAAATATGATCATTCAATGATAAAAGATCAGCTCTAGCCCTACAGCTAATAAATGTATACAACTTCAATAACAGTAATATTCTTGATGTGTTAAGACTGGATCTAAAGATGTCAATATACATAATCTTGTCTCATGCAAAATTTAGTTCCAAAAAGATGTATTTATATAATCTTACTTTTGCAATTAGAGGAATTATTCAATCATAAAAGATGAGCTATAAAAGAATTATGAAGTCATCATTGTGTTAGGGATGGAGACCACTCCCACATAGTACATACAAGGCATGTGACTTCCACATTAGTACTACAAGCAAAACATAAGTTAGAGGGTGCACAGTGCAGCTAATCCAACACAAATCACCAGTTCTAGCTGTAATGACTAAGTTTTACATGTCTTCAATAAAACCAGAAATCACTATAATGCAATACAAAAATAATGTAATATGGTATTTTTATAATTTGTTACAGTGTCTTTTTTGTCATTGTTGAAAACAGTATAACACAGAGGGAAAAATATTATAATTGGATGGATTGGTTCATCAGAAAGAGAAGGGACAGAGAGGGAAAAAAGGATAGGCGACTAGGGATATTTTAGGTATTAGACAACAAAAACATCATTAGGGATTTCTGAAAATGAGGATAGTTCTTGAGAAAAAATCTCAAAAGATGACTATTTTTCAGGAATTTGTCATAGAGGATATTAATCTTGTGTTGCCAATATATTTTTCTTGACCTTCCTTCAAAAAAAAAAAAAAAGGAATCTGACGCTGAAAAATATTTCTGCTGATACCATATACTGTACAAATAGAACAAGGTAGAGATGATACCATATGCTGAAAAATGTTCCTGCACTGCCAATATGTTTTTGTTGACCTTGCTTCCGAAAGAAATGGAATCTGATGCTGAAAACTCAATGTTCGAAGAACTTTTGATATTAGAGAGGCCATCTTTCTACCGCCACTTGCATAGTTGCTTAAATAGTTGATTCCACATATAGGAAAACCACTACTATTGGACAGTATTCTCTCTCTTTTTTAGCAGCAGGAATCATTCCCCATTAGTTTCTAAGGGACTCAAGTGATGCAAAAACAAGCAGATAAAATTGAAATGCCTATAAGATTGAAGGAGAGAGAAGAACTGAGCTGAGTCCAGATTCCAGGAACAACAAAAGAACCATGCCAACCCATTGATTTCATCTACTGCATTTTCCACAAGGTGACTACTTCACAAGAGGGCTTTCTTAACTACAGTACTAATTATATGTTTACAGGCATGACATAAGGTTATCCAGTGGATCATGTTCTCTGAGCATGGATAAAAAGCACGAGTAAGCTGGCTTTACTGTCAGATTAACTAGCCTGAGCACAATGCATGTATGCTTAGCTTTGCGGAATAGAATGAGTCAAAATGAGTAGTCTTTTATCCTCCTCCTTCTTCCAGCCTAAAAGGCTGAAACCTCCAAAGTCTTTAATTAGGTAGACGACAATGGTAGTACTCTGCATCGAAGCAAGAAAAGTCAAGATTGTGACCAAATTTTTGGACCTTAGTTAGTCGGATAAGGATTGCTTTAAGCAATGTAGAGGAACAGATGTAAAGAAGTGGCAACATATTTCCTCCTCCAGCAGTGCTACTAGTAAAAGACTCGTTTCTCAGCTGTTAGGGTAGATAAGATTCTTTGCATCTAATATAAGGAAAGAATCATCAAAACAAAACAGGTTAACGAGCATATCCTGCACACGCAATTCTCTTCATGGATGAAACACTGCGAGAATGGTCTCGTGTTACTGAGATTTGAAAGAGTTCGAGTGACATCGATTCCCATCTCGGCATCACATCAACATTTCTACGTTTGCCTCGCATGCTCTTCGAGACTAGGGTGGGGTGACGTTATGTCCAGAGGAGCGACAAAATATGTTGATATGTGCCTTTGGCAGCTGAAGATGAACCATAAAAAAATTATATTTTGGCACCACAAATTAATAGAAATCCTTTTGATAGTGCATCGAAATTCTCTTAGCTATCCTGCGACTTCGAGTCTCATTTCTAAGAAGGATTAATAAACATGCTCTCGTCTCATTCTCCCAAGAGGAGAAGAGAGGAAATTTTTACCTCCAAGCTCAGTCATCCATGATGAAATATTTATGTTTTTTTGGACTACGTGCCATCACCACTAAACCTGAGAGGCAATAGAACTATAAGGTATGAAAGTGTAAGCATAAAAATTATAATCATGCTTTTATTATGTAAAAAAATTAATATTAGAATCAAAATCAAACAATGATAGATCAAGATAGGATTACGTGCATTTTAATACTATTTAAAAAAAATTATCTTATCTCTAAATTTATTGTCGTTGAATCCGAGAGAAGCAATATTGTCGATCTATAATGAGAATTAGATTTGTTTTCTCCTCTCTTTTTATCATTCACAAGATAATTATAAATGATGGAATAAGGACTAATAAGAACTAGATAATAATTTTCTTTATTCTAGCTACTATTGATTTATATATTGGTTATTATTTGAGAATTTCAATTGTGTGTTGCATCCATATGAGAAATTTGGTGGTTGTAAATTTTCTTTTTCTCCTAAATATATAAATTAATACAATTTTCTTAACGTCAAGTATTGAGTTTCTAATAAATTTTATCTATTTATAAGCTATAACAAGAGGTTTGTTTAGAATAAGTAATTAGGAATCTATTTATAGCAATTCTAAAGAATATTATAATAATTATATTTTATTAACAATAAGAATCTAATCAAATTTATAATATATCTTATCCAATTAAATAAGATTATATAATCTAACAAAAAATAAATCTGACTGAATCTATTTATGAACACACCGATAGATAGATGACCTGTATTTAATGAGGTAATCACTCGTAATTATAAAATTATAAAATTAAACAAAATGAATAAATTTGTCGGTACCAAAAATAATATGCAAATTTTCTTCTACATGACTGATCAGAAGATATTTTTTACTTGGGAGTTGGATACCGAAAGCAACATAAACCTTAGGTTGGAAAGATGATGATAGTCGATGGTTTCAGTCCACAACAATTTATCTTTTCCGAAGACTATTTCCAATAAGAAGAACAAAGGACACCTCAAGTGTCCCACTCGAGTCTTACATCTTCTTGTTGCTGAAGCTGGTCTCCTGGTTGATCTGCGCAAGTCAAATCAAGTCACAGTCAGGAAAACCATGTTGAGTAGTTGGTGATTACTACTTTTACCATGCTGCACAAGATTCATCTTTTAAGTCACTGGGTTGAGTCTCCACAAATAGGTTACTGTCAACGTCAACGTCAATTTTGATCGGCAATTTGATATAAAAAATTAATTTCGAGTGTGATCACATTTGGAGGAAAAGTTTTATTTGACATCCTATCTCAGTTTAAGGATAAAAAACACTTGTATCTAATATCATATTTATTTATTCAAAAAGGTTAGTGGGATATATATAATAATATT